CTAACTTTTTAGGGTGCAGTTTATAAATATGTATGCATAGGTACCAGGCACATAGTCTGAATGTATATGTAAATTCATATTTGCTCCAATATTATCTCCTCATTGAGGCTTTCCCTGAATACCCTATCTAAAATAACCACTCCAATCTTTTTCTATCTCTTACTGTGCTTTATCTTTCTTTGTTGCATTTACCACAATTAACACATAGTATGTCTCATTTGATTATCAGCAGACTTTCCCAATAAAGCATAAGCTCTGTTAAAGGAAGAATTGTCTGTTTTATAAACAACTATAGCCTTGTTGTCAAAAGCAGTACCTGGCATACAGATGATGCTTATCAAATAATGACTGATCGAACAAATATTTTTGAGCAAAAAGCATGCTTTTTAAATGTCTGGTGAAACAAAAGGTATAGTTACTTCAATCAAAACCAAGAGAATATTCATTTCACCAGAACTGGCAATTTACAGACAAGTTTATTTCTTCAAAGTTCCTTTCGGACAAGTTGTGTTCATTCTTCACTTCATAACATGGGCAAAACCATAGCACAACAGTAAAAAAATAACAAATTCTCTCCCATAAATGAACACTTTACAATATCTTCTGATTTTCTAAAATCAATTAAATTTTTTTTAAGCTTTTATCCTAGAGCAAATAAAAGTAACAAATTATTTAAAAAGTGGACCAAAACTCAAAGTATAACTCAGTCTTAAGAATTAAACTTGAATCAACCAAATGCTAACCAAGAGAACAGTCTCTACTATTACTTGAACTAAGCCTTTAGGAAAGAAGTAGTGAATAAGAGAAGTCAGAGGAAAAGTTAGAGAATTGAGAAGAAATCCAAATCTCAGCCACTATGTGGTTAACTGATGAAACTCAACCAGAAGCCATCCTTCATGCTACCCATGTCTATTCACCAAGGCAAATCACATTCTGGGCCACAAAACACACCTTAACAAATTTCAAAGAACAGAAATCATACAATACCTGCCCTCAGATCACAATGGAATTAAACTGGAAAATCCTAAAATACATGGAGGTAAACAACACATTTCTAAATAACACATGGGTCAATAAGGAAATCTCAAGAGAAATTAAAAATATTTTGAAATGAAAACACACGAATTATCAAAATTTATGGGACACAGCAAAAGCAGTGCATACACGGAAATTTATAGCATAGAATGCATATATTAAAAAAGATGTCTAAAATCAATCACCTAATATTCCACCTTGGGAAACTAGAAAAAGCACAAATTAAATCCAAAGTAAGCAAAAGAAAATACTAAGAATTAGAGCAAATATCAATGAAATTGAAAACAAGAAATCAATAGAGAAAATTTAATAAAACCAAAAGCAGTTTTTTTGAAAAGATCAATAAAATCAGTAAGCCTCTAGCCAGAATAACTAAGGAAAAAAGGGAAGGCACAAACAACTAATATCAGAAATGAAAGAAAGAAATATCACTACACATATCATGGCCATTAAAAGGAATACTATGCACAACTCTATGCCCACAAATTTTATGACCTAGGCAAAATGGACCGATTCCTTGAAAGACACAATTTGCCAAAACTGACAGAAGAAACAGACAATTTGAAAAGGTAGGTATCTATTACAGAAATTGAATCAATAATTAATAACTTTACAAAAGAGAATACACCAGGCCCAGATGGGTTCACTGGAGAATTCTACCAAACAGTTAAGGAAGAAATTATACCAATTGTCTACAATCTCTTTCAGAAAATAGAAGCAGATGGAATATTTCCTAACTAATTCTGTGAGTCCAACATTACCCTAATCCCCAAACCAGGCAAAGGTATCATAAGGATAGATAGATGGATGGACAGACAGACAAATAAATAAATAAACAGATAGATAAATAAATAAATAAATGAATGAATAAATAAAATAAATAAATGAATAAATGAATAGATAAATAAATGAAGATAAATAAATATATAAATACTATAGACCAAAACCTCTAATGAATGTAAATGCAAAAAATCCTAAATGAAATATTAGCAAATCAAATCCAACAATGTATAAAACAAATTATATACCATGGCTAAGTAGGATTTATCCCAGGTATGTGAGGCTAGTTCAACATTCAAAAATCAATCAAAGTAATCCACTACAGCAAACTGAACATGTCTAATTATAACTAAGCACAAAAACCTCTAATATCTTCATCAATGTCTCTAATGTCTACATTAGAATTCTCTCAAAGTGTGGTTTAAGGACCACCAGTTTCAGACTTAACTGTTAAGCTCATTAAAAATAAGATTCTGAAATTCCACTCACCAAAAATGGGGCCCACAAAGGCATTTTTATCAAGCATCACAGGTGAATCCTATGCAAACTCAAATTTGAGAACTAGTGCCCTACTCTACCCCACTTTTCAAAACTCAGTTGAAATCACCTACTACATGACCATTCAGAATTCTTTTCCTCTGTAATCTTGGAGCATATTACATGGATTTCTCTTATAATATTTACTGTATTCTCTTCTCAACAACCCTCTCCACCTTCCAAAAGGAAAACTTTCTCAACTTTAAGGCAGAGGTTTATAATTTTCTTTTTTTTCCACAACAGACCATACACAGTTCAATGCCAGCAGTAAAAGTTACCACAAGATGCTATATAGCTAAAACATGCCATGAGATAACCTGCAATTCCAGGAGCTAGCTCTAATCTACTTTTCTTCCACAAATCAGCCTAAAAGGTGGAAAGATTTATTTGATTAAAGTTGGTCTGAAAATTTACTTCAGTAGATTTTCTACAGACTATCCATTTTCAGAACATGAAAGCAAAAAAATTAGAGTGAATACTAAGTATTTTTAGTCTGGATCATGATCCTATTGTTATTTTCTCAAAAAAGAACCTTATTACATGCACGGGCATTTACTGTGTTTTGGTCTACATAATGTACCAGAGAATAAGAGAACAAAATGAGGTTAGATCAATTAAAATAAAAATAAAATCAAGGTGTGCCAAGACTTTGCTTTCCATTCTGGAGTAGTATTTAAGACAGTAGTGAAATACTTGGCCAAACATATGGACAAAGATTCCAAGTACTGCCTACATGACATACAAAAAAATGAAAAGAATGATAAAAGAATCAAGTCTGAGAAATCAAAACAGCAAAGAACAGTGGAAATCAGACTAAATCTTATTTAATCAGAAACAGGTACCAAGTCTGAAAAAAGTCCTGAGTGAAGTCGCAGAATCATAAATATGAGTTAAAGAGTGTTTTAATTCCCAGCAAGTCCCACTTCTCTTATCTAGGAGGAAATTGGAACTCTTATCTAAGTTGGATGATTTTGCGAAACTCATACAACTAATGATGGTGAGAATCTAGGTCTTCTGAGTTCAAGTACTGCATTGTTTTCATTATATCATTAGGCCAAGCAATGTAAAAGTTCTGAATTCAACCAAACCGAATCCTAAACAAAAATCAACACTTATAACTTCATTTAATGGCTAAAGTCTTTATTTTCACAGATTCCAAACACTGACCACACTTACACATACAAACATTATAAATTTCATAGCTGAGAAAGCTAAAGCAGAGTTAAGTAACTTAGAAATATAAGCAATACCAGAATGGAGTCAACTACCTGGTCCTTGGTGACATTCTCTAGGTGATAGTCTCCTAAGTGACACTTTGAGAAACAGCATGAGTTCATCTTACCTTAAAACAAAACTATATTTTGAGTTGTCAGGGGAGAGGAATTCTACTTTTAGTATTACAGAATTCTGGGAATAAGTTCACATGCAGCTCCTCTGTGACTATTATGAATTCAAGGATTTCAATACACTCTATCTTCAGCTTTTCTGACCAAGAAGTCAAAAATTGAGCTTAACTTTAATAAGTGTGTATCTGTGTTTTAGTCTAGACAATGCCAAACTATTGTTATCTTATGCAAATCTCTGCCTATTTCTAATCCTTAGGTTCTTCCTTCTGCAAAACTGGTGTTTGGAGGGAGGGAAGGGAGTAGTTAGGCTAATTTTTATCTCTGGTTCCTTCCCGTTCTATTCTTCTATTGTATCTGATTTCATTGATACAAAAGGAAAAAAATAATTCAGTAAATAAACAAATTGTATTATTCACTGAAGTTAAAACAAACACAATGCTGAAAAGGGTTATAGGTTAGTAGTCATAGCATAGTAAAGTGCACTAGGAACCACATTATTTGGAGGTTCTTTTGTTTCACGTTGTTTCTAAAAGTCATACAAAAGCCAACGATAAAGGGACGATGTCAACAGGTGGTACTAAAAGAGTATGGCAAACTAAAGCTAAATTCTACAAAGACTCCCCTCCAGGAGATTTTAAATATTTTATATAGTCAAGTAACTGACAGTGTTGAATTTTACCGGAGTCCTGTGATCTGGGAAAACAGCAAAGGTTAAGAAATCCACCCCCTCTCTTCAGTGTTTTGGAAAAGACTTATTGCAAAGAACCACTGATCCCCATAGGTCTTGGATAAGACTCACCGATGGCCCCTTGTTTACTTATGAAAAGGCCAGGCACAAATCTGCAATTTCATATTCTTTGCTTCATAAGTGACTAGCTCAACTGCTTGTTCCCACAGATCAATCGCAAGAAAATGTTACCCAATTCAGGTTAAGATCCTCTTCTCCCACCCAGGTCCCTGAACTTTGGCCAACCCTCAGTCTGAAACTACATATATCTCTTCCTTAACAGCTCCTCTCCAGAATAGGCTGGCCTGAGGGTAAGACAATCTCTAATGTACTACTTACTGTCCATCAGAAATTAAATA